TTTTGCCTCTTAATGCTCTAATGTAGAGTTTTCTAGAAAACCAACGGGTCTTTGAGCCTTCTCGATTTACCGCTAGCCCCACCTCCTCCAGCACCCGTTGACGATGAAGGCTACACGATAAGGGAGCAGGAAAATGACAAAGAGGATACGAATTGGTCATCTTGTAGCAGTAGCGATGAAGAGGTGCGTTTGACTTCACTTTCCCATTTTTTCTATGTACACAATCAAATTTTAGGATGAGAATACCTTACAACAGTCAAAAATTCGAAGCTTGACCATTCGGCCAGCGGATTCAGCTAAAACCATGAATGCATCTGTGGATGAACTGCGAGATGCTATTGGGCATATCAATATATGTAGGAGTAATACTTTTGATAAGGTAGGAGCTCCGGTACTTTTGATCCCTTCTAATAAATTTGACTACTGTATTCTTTGCGTTTCATACCTCTGTTTTCATTTGTTTAATTTTTCGTTCTTTAAAAATCTAAGTTCAATGTTTTATGGTATTATACGCAGGACCCTTGGACAATTGGTGGTTCAAATCGTCCCCCGATGTTTTCACAATCACTAAGTGGTGGCAGCTTGAAGCCGCTTCGACCGTGTCACACTGCTGATGGTCGATTCAGATCGACTTTCAACGGTATTTCGTTTTTGCAAATTCCTTTCTTTCCTCAGTTCGTCTACCTAAGGTTATCTTTTTTCAGAGTCTGATTTTGGCAAGAGCAACGTTCCGCTGAACTTCTCAGCTTCGATGGGACCTGTAGCGGGAATGGCCCGCGCGCGACCAAGAAGTAACACACCTACGCTCAACTCTGCCTTTGGTGCTGGTGGTGCTACGTTGAGAAAGGTTAGAATTTTTGGTTTTGTTTTTCATATTTGTAGTGTATTTTTCATTTTCGTGGTTTCTTTAAAAACCTCGATTTCTTTTGATTTATTATTTTTTTTCATGATTTTGATTTTCAGGACTCCGTGGGATCTTCAGATTGGGGATCTTCCTTTGCTATCAACAATAGTGATGGAAATCATTCGTTTGGAGAGTCATCGTTCAATTTATCACAGTCTACGGCGAATCTCATGCAGGTATGATGATATTGTTGCATTTGAAGTACTTTATTTCACCTTGTTGTTAGCATTTTGTAACATTTTGTCCTATATCTTCGCCTTTTTAAACCTTCTCTCAAGGCCACAATCAGTGAACATCGTGTACCAGTAGCGATGGCAATCAACGAATATTCGCATGTGTGGTTCAAGGGAGGAGATATAGAAAAGTAAGTTCCTCTGTTGTCGCCTTATTTACCTCTGTTCACATCAAAAGATTCTTTGTTTTCCGAATTTATCAACCTATCTACGTTTGACTTCAGTCAACTGTTTTAGTCGTGTTACTCGAACGTTTGGTACTGTGCTAATCTCCTTTGCTGCATCATCATTGCCTCTTTTGACGGATGTGCACTCCGACATTGAACCCCTTCTTTTCAATCTCACTGACGCAGACATGATCAAGTCTGTGGTGCCGAATAAACAGGTATGTTTATCATTTTGCTTTCGTTTTTTAGATGATCATGATTCACAAGCGTTCAGCTTCTTTTACCTGATTCTGTTGCTTCCCAACATGGTCCGTCGTATCATTACCAATTTGATCGACTCGGCTTGGCAAATTGGCTGCTTGCTCAGCAAAAAGAAAAACCGAGCGCTGCATTTTTCAACGCTGAGGTAATTTTCAACAAGATAAGTGCTAAAAGCTTCCTCAATTTGAAATTATTATATTTGTGACTTTTTGAATTTTTTGGTCACACCTAAAACCACCTACACCCACCTACCTGATTCTTTCTTAGGTGGTACGTTACGAGCTATGCGATGATGCGCGGGTCACTCAGCCTCCACTATACATCACTACCTATTGGAAGTGTGAAGAGGACCACACAGGTAGGTAGGCATGGGTTTAATACATTTTATCTTTTTTGTTTTTTATGCCAATGTCATAGCCATAATCTTTGAATAGTGTTATGATTCTCTTCTTCTTTTTCTCTTTTTTTAATATCCATTGTAAAGGGTTTTCCTCGCCTGTTCTTGCTAAATCGCCTGTTTTCTTCTCAAAAATATATGCTGATTTTCTCCTTGCACAAAAAACCTCTTTCTTTTCAGATGTTCGAATCGACTATCAACTAAACAACGAATGCTCCATAACAACCCCGCTATTGAATCTAGTCTTTACCACCAAGGTTTCTGGGGAAGTCAGCAGCGTGACATCCGATCCAACGGCTGCTTGGTCAGTTTGCGTTTGCTTTGTGAATCCAATGTCTTGCTTTCAAAAGCATTGTTTAGGTCAGCTGATAATAGCACAC